TCGTTGGGGAGCAAATGTCGCGGGAGCAAATGTCCAGGGAGCAATTGTCGTTGGGGAGCAAATGTCCATGGGGAGCAAATGTCGCGAGAGCAAATGTCCGGGGAGCAATTGTCGCGGGAGCAAATGTCTCGGGAGCATCTTTCGTAATACCACAACTAATACGAAATTGAATATGCATCTAAAAACAGTAAAACATCAGAAAAATCTCCTTTTAAAATTAGATGATATCGTAGAAAAATATCTCTTTTTTCTCACGTGTCTGCTTGAAATTTTTGTCTATGTACATTGTATTGATATCTTCTATCATTATAATGTTCTTCACTGTTAAAATCGAACCAATAAAAGTACTTTTTGTACTACAGCATAAATAACCAATTTAGAAACACGTCGACTGATTTCCTCTTCATCATACAGAAGTTATCATATTTATCGATGATTATTAAAAGAATAATATCTATTTTATCTTCTTGAAGAGTCTTCAATAACCAAATTTTTAGTTTATCTCTCATTAGAGAAGGAGAAATTATTAGTATAATTATGAAATATTTTGCAAGTGGAAAATATAAGTCTATTAAGTCAACATATTCATCATTCTTCTGAGTGATAATTGCAGAATGATTGATAGGATACTGCCCAAACAAGGATACGGATGCGATTATAAGAAAAAATCAAAAGCTACTCCTCACCTTTGATGAACATTTTTTTCTTTTGTTCTTCTTGAGAACAGTACTTTTAACAAGAATAAATTCAATTAGTTGTGAACTACTGCTAATTACGCGATTGTTTCTCAAGATACTTAGCCAGTTTTTGTACTAAGATTTGGATGTGGATGGTTCTTCTGAGAAACCTATATCCATGCCCAATCGTCATTTTTGTTTTTTTTAAATTATAAATCAACAAAAATTATCAAATATAATTCAGTTGTGATGAAAAAATCCCACAAGACTTTTCTTCGTTCTTTTATTCAATAAAAAACTTTTTTCTCCTTTCAAAATCAAAAGTTCATTCACAAAATTATATCAAATTTTGCAACTCGATGATTTTCAAAATCAGCAACATAAAGATTTCCTTCATCATCAAAAGATAAACCATTGGGACTATTTAATTGATTTGATTGAATTCCTTTTCCATTTCCACCAACAACTATTTCACCTTCTTCTTTTCCTTCACACCAACGCATTACTCGATGATTCTTACTATCTGCCACATAGATTTGACCTAAATGATCAACAATTACTCCTTCAGGTTGAGACAATTGATTGCGATTTCCTCCAGTCACAATTCTACCTTCTTTTGCACCTTTTCTCCATTTCATCACACGACGATTGTTATAATCTGATACATAAACAGATTGATGTTCGTCAACAAAGATAAAAGTAGGATAATTGAGTTGATTAATTTGATCTCCGTGCCCATTTCCACCTGCCACTACAATTCCTTCTTTGTCATATTCTCCGAATTTCCATCGTCTCACTTCATCTTTCCACCAATCAGAAACATAAAGAAATCCATGTTTATCTATTGCCAAGCCACGGCAGTCAATATTCTTAATAAGAGTTTCTTGATTTTGATTCAACCATCGAACTACTCGTCTGTTCCCTGGATCAGCAATGATGATCGAATGATTTTGTTGATCAACAATTATATCTGT